TCCGTGAAGGGGATTGGATGAACAGGGAGCAGTGGCTTTTGGGTGTTGGGGATATGACTCCTTAAGTTGTAGAAAAACGCAAAGATAAAAAAAAAAATTTAAAAGAAAAATGTTTTTAATCGAATAACGATTTTATGTTCACGGTATAAATTTTAAAATACAATCTAATTGTTATTTTTTAACCTGCTTTGCTTCCAATTTTTCTATAGCGGGCAATTTTTGATTCTTCGTGAGTGTCCTCTTCTTTTGAAGAAAAGTTTTCCTAACTAAAATGGTCTAGTAGTAACCATTTAATTTTAATTTTTATTCATGAAAACGCGTTTTTTGTTTTGGTTTCTTATCTTGCTCCGTTCCTGGAAAATGATTAATTTGAGATGCGAAATGGCCGAGCGAGCTAGCGAGTGTGCACAGCACTGCGCGTTGCCCGGCAACCTGATAACCGAAGTTGGAGACAATAAAGTAATTACAAGTTCACGTCCTGATGCCCTGTAGTCCTGGTGGTGATGTAGTGAAAAAAAAAAAAAAAAAAAAAAAAAAAAGGTGCGATACCCTCACATTTGGTATAAATATGCCAGCTCGAATTTAAGTATCCACCATCGCACCAGGTCATTAACACGGCTACGACTATGAGGTGTGCCTCAAAAACTTCTCTACTAGTATTTCAGAATGGAGTAATATTTTTTTCGAAACCTTTAATCAGTATCTATACTGAGATTTAAAAAAGTCACCAAGATTTTTATATGAGCTTATAAATTGAAGCAAGATTGTTTGGAATATTTTGTTTGGCCAAATACGGATACGAGGAGTGTTTAATGATCACCTGTCTCCATTATCAGCTCCTCACAGAATACGTTTAATAATTTGGGTAAAAATTTGGAACGTGTGAAAACTAATGCCAATACTCCCGTGGACGCTGAAGAGTTCATGGTGGCAGATGTTTTGAATAAATCAAATGTAATACTGGATTAAAAACCCTTTCATATAGAGCCCTCTTCAACTTGGCTTCGCTAATTCAACGAATTTGATCATTTTTTTTATTAAATATAACAAAAAAGTATCTTCAACAGTGGAATCTACTTACTGACAGATCCAACTTGTATAGATACAACTTTTCCAACTAGAAATATCACTAAAATGGCATTATTCAAAAATGTTGAAATTGTAGTTAGTCATTCTGTCAACTGAAAGGCGCACATAGATCAGTGACTGAAGTTATGTGGTTTATCACTAGCGGATGGAATAACTAGATTTTTATTGTCTACCGTCGATATAATAAATAGAGTGTTTGTAATTTTAATGGTCTTAATGATTTGTTATATAGAAGCTTTAAGCTTTAGCTCCGTTTAAAATGCACTTCAAAAGTTTTATAACAGCCCAACATTGCAAGAAAATAATTTCTATTCAAAGCAGAGGGGTAAGTGAAAGTTGTGTGTTGCTCGCACCAGATTTTTACTTTCCTACCTATACTAGGTAAGGAATGTATTGCAATCGGGTCAAATTTCCGATATGCAATTTTCGACGGATCTATAACGTTTCAGAGTCCCCTGAGTCCGAAAAACACATTTTAAGCCATTGGTCTGTCTGTGCCAAGATTTTCTCGGGAACTACTGAACCGATTTTGTTGCTTCTTTTTTTATTTTGTAGGGTTTTGACTACTGATGCCTGTGACTGAAATTGTGTGCTCCATGCGCAATAGCTTGCGGGTAATAAATGAAAAACATATTTTTCTATAGACTGTAGCGTGAAAACGGCTCTAACGATTTTGATGAAACTTTTCTATAAGGTTCTAATAATTGTCCTTTCAATTTTCGTATATGGACTAAATTCCCGAGAAAATTCAGGAAAAAAAAGTAATAATGAAAAGAAAAATGTTAAGGGGCCTAACCATCCCTAAGTATATATTATACGTTCAATTTGGACAACTATTAACGAAGTTACAGCAATTCAATTTTCAATGTACTATTACGGGTTCATATCCTTGTCAGAAAGGGGTGAACGAGAGAAAAAAAAAGAAAAAAAAAAAGATGACTAAGTGAAAGTAAGAAAATCTGTTGCCCGCATCACACAAGCTTCACTATTTCTTCTACTTTTAAAAGAAATTATTGTTTGACAATACTAAGCTAAGGCAAAAAGTTTCTGATCAGCAATATTAAAGAGTATTGAAATTTTTATACTGACCGACCTTAAGCCGGTTTACATTCCTTTAGTTTATCAAATAAATCGTACTCAAATATTTTCTTTGATTAATTTTCAAGAAAATAAATCTAGTTCAATTTTTTTTTTTTGTTTCTTTATGAACATATGTAAAGATGTAAAATCTATTCTGAAATACGTAGGAAAGTCGTGTAGGTGGACACACCAGATGTTTTTATTTAATATGCCTATTCGTTTAAATTTTTTGTGATATTTCTCTGAGTCTCCAACATTCACATTGGTGTCACTGTATATTATTCTAATGGGACTTGCCACAGAATAAATAAAGTATTCCTATTATGAAGCGTTTTGCGCATAGATTACAGTGTCAATTAGCTTTATTAATAGGCTAAAATTAATTTTTCTCATACGCTTTTTATTACTTTTTAAAATTTCCAGTAAGTGGCGGATACTTCCAGCTAGGCGCCTCTGGGCAAAAGCTAGGGTTCCCGTGCCCCGGCACAGCTTACAATGGAACGAGAAAAAGCAAAGAAAAGAGAGCTAAATGGGAATAAAATATTGAACGGCCTTCAAAACAATCTAAGCCCCCTGGCAACTTCATATGGATCTTGCATGGAAAAAAGAATTCGAGATAGTGAGAGACAGACAATTTATTTCATAAATTGAAAAAATTAACATGAAACGAAAAAATAACTCTGGTTTCATTTGAAATTTCGTCTTTTCAAACCTATGAATCTTCGAAATCGTTTGAAGCTCAGAAACGATGTGACCTAAACATCAACAGGTTCCCTACAGCTTACCAAGCATTAGTTAATCAAACTATGTCCATATGAAGGTAAGTACGTTTTAAAAATATTAAAACTTTCATAGGTTATTCCAAAATAGGGCACATGAACTCGTCCGAGCCGCCCCTACAGTCGTTGACAGAACATTGAATAAAATATGTGATCAAATTCTCGCTTTCCAGTAAAATGTTTTACAAATTTTTATTTGAAGTGTCGTTTCTCGACATTCTGGAAACTTACTTTGTTCCTGTAATGATTAGATTATTATTAACAATGTTACGTGTGTTACTAGAATAAATTTGGAAATTTGATTGTGTTTACCTAACTAATACCTGTTTTTCAAAGTAACTAAAAAGCTAAACTGATAGCTACTTAACTGAAAGTAATGGCTCTAAAAGATTATTTGGCAGAAATACGATCAAAAAAGTTACATACAGCATTACATATTTGTCTTAGGCCAGCAAACAAAAATTGAACCGATAATATAATGCTCATAGAGCGAAAGTTAGGCAGTTTTTCATCTTATGAAAATTTTTAGTTTTTTTTCTTACAGGCTTTTGCAGTCTGACTGTCGATATTTTACTTCAATTTTGTATGAAATATTAGTTTCCAAAAATAAGTATGATATTTTTTTTCAATGATGAGTAGAAAAAATATAGATGTTTAAGTGATTTATAAAAAATAAATAATATTGATACTGAATGTAATGGCACAAAAGTTGATTTGTAGTCGCTGCACTCCCCCACTAAAAGATACACATTCTTGTCAAATGTAAATAATGATTTCAAACAGGATAGTTATATTACATTAGCAATTGGATGACGAAAATATTTTTTAAAAAATTATAATTATCTGAATAATTATATAAAATAAATTATTTATAAGAGATACAGTCTAGTTCTCTGTCCAAACATGCTACTGATAATGGTTATGTAGAAGATAAACAAAATCATCCTTGATGGGAACATTTAGGAAATGATGAGTGAAGGCTTACTGAATCATGGAACCCCCAATAAGCTGCTAGATTTCTCATCTGATAAATTTAATGATCCCAAGCTACTAATATGCACCTTTTAGTTTAAGAAATGAATCATATATGTGTGTATATATATATATATATATATATATATATATATATATATATATATATATATTGTTGTATTAAAAGAGATAATCAATAATGGGTAAATATTTAGCAATATATTAATAATATTGCTTGAACAACATTAATAGAAAACACAATATGGTTTCAGATAAAATAGGAGAACAATATGAAACAGATCACAGAAGAAGCTGCGGTATATGACGAAGATGCTGTTGGTTTAAAAAAACTTTGTGTTCCTGTTCCTAGGTAAGTCATTCATCACCCAAACATAGGAAATACTTGACTTGAAAATCTTCTAAACAATTGTTGAAATTATACCTGAATAGTCCATCATTTTGCATTATTCTACTAGCTTTTGTTCTAAAGGTTGGTAAATAAAGAGAATGCACTCCATGGTTACTTCAGAAAGTTCAAATGGTGGCTTTTTACCAACGGTAAGGATTTAAACCAAATTATGAAAGTGAAAAAGAATACAACTATGGAAAAGATATTAAGAAAGGGAATAAATTAGGTTGAGTTTAAATCGAAGAGAAATAAATATTGATATCTCCAATAACATGTTCTTACAATAATTTCTTATAAATATTTTTTTTATTTTTAAAAATAATGTATTTTTCCGTTGATTAACATTTTGAACCTTATGAGAACTGATCTCGTACCCACAGGTCAAACACAGCGCCAACTATTAAATCTGTTTTATTCAATTGCTATTGTATTCATACAAAATAATTTAGATAAAAAATTAAACCCAAATAATGGTATAAACAGATGATTTGTATTCACTGTCCTCTCTAAAAAAATTCTTTTTGTGAGAAAGAAAAATTGTTTTTCTTTCTTTCAATATTAAACATAATTATTTTTGTTGTCAAACGAAAATAATGATATTAAGTAGGAATAGTTAGATCGAAAATTTAAAAGATTAGAAATTGTTTGAATAATTAACTTAAATAATTTACCTAAATGTAAATGTTTCCTCTTTCCATATCCACATTCACAGAATGTCATAATACTTGTGAACACGAAGACGAAAATCATCTTTGAGGTCACCATTTTGAGAATGGCGTGAGGAAACGAACTGAATCTTTAGAACTCCCGTTGGCCTAACAGATTATCCAGCTGATAAATTTAATGGTGCCAAGACATTTACGTGTGATCGTCATAGTTTGAGATATCAACCACAACGAATAGAAATAAGAAATATTATCACAAGATCCGGATTTTAAGACTTTATCTTTTTTTTTCTGTTCAAGGGAAATGTTAATTTATTTTATTTTTACATTTAACAACGCCACAGCGTTAATTTATTTTATTTTTACATTTAACTATAGTTTAATTAATTGTTGATTTGGTTTATTTCATCAAAGTGAAATCAATTAATAATATGTATAACATATGGGTGATAAATATTCAGGACGCAGTCTTTTTTTAAAATTTTTTATTTTTGCCAACGTTTCAACCCAAACATATGGGTCATCTTCAGTGCTCAAGCGAACATGACCCACATGTTTGGGTTGAAACGTTGGCGAAAATAAAAAAAATTAAAAAAAGACTGCGTCCTGAATACTTATCACCCATGATATGTAGAACAGTCGACTAACTTTCTTCAAGTATGTATAATATATGTTTATATTAAGTATTATAGGCCCATAGCTTATATTAAGTATTATAGGCCCATAGCTTATATTAAGTATTATAGGCCCATAGCTTATATTAATTATTATAGGCCCATAGCTTATATTAAGTATTATAGGCCCATAGCTTATATTAAGTATTATAGGCCCATAGCTTATATTAAGTATTATAGGCCCATAGCTTATATTAAGTATTATAGGCCCATAGTTTATATTAAGTATTATAGGCCCATAGCTTATATTAAGTATTATAGGCCCATAGCTTATATTAAGTATTATAGGCTACTTGTTCTGGATTGTAGCCCTAGCTACAAACGGGTCCTAGGTCCAAGTCCGAAGCCCGTAGACTTCACGCGTACACAGTCTGACTCCGTCCGTTATAGAGCTCAGGCCTGCCAACTGATGCACTGCCCACTGCAGTCCACTTTGGAAGAAGAGGTACTTAACTTCTCTCTCTCGAGCCACCCTCGCCGCTGCCCACTTGCATTTCGTTTAGAGCACGCTCCGAGAAAAAATACATATATGGCCAAAAACTAAATTAATAAAGATTCCAACAATATATACAATAATTTAAATAATAGTATGTAAACAACTAATAAATTAAATTAAATTTTCTCTAGAATAGGTACAGTTGTAATGGAAAAAATAAATAAACAAAAACATATATACAGATATATAGAAAGAAAAAGCAAAACCTCCAGAAAAGAAAAAATATCAAAAGTAAGTAAAGAAAAAGTATTGACTGTTTATGTTAAAACATAAACAAGTAAATATATACATATCTTAAAGATTGATTAATGAAAGTAGATGAACAATGGGATCACAAGAACACTATCGTGGCGTAAGAGAAATAAAATAACAATAAGTAGATAAATAGTATTGGGAAGGGCATTAAATTAATTTTATGAGAAAACCATTGTAGCGACAAAAAGAAAAAAAAAAAAAAACAAGTCAAAGAAATTAAATTATTTACTTAAGGGCTTTGAATTAATACTCTTATAAAAATAAAATAAAAACAAACAATTTCTTCTTTTTTGTTTCATCACAATTCCATTTCACAATAATACGGAATCTTTCCAATTCATACAAAATAAAAACAAACAATTTCTTCTTTCCTTCCTTTCTTCACCATAATGCTGTGTCTAATGTAGTACGGAATCTTTTCCAATTCATAACAATAAAAAATAATTAAGGTTTTTCCCCATTACCCAAACAAGTCAGCTTCCTCTATACCTTCCCTTGCCCTGGTTTTCCAGTTCTAGGTGAAAGTCCTAGCTGAACACACCTGTAAGTCTCTAATTTTATTCTTCCAATTTTATTTACTTATTTATCTAATTTTTCGGTTTTCTTTTCTCTGTTCTTTCTCCACATTCCTTTATGTCTGTTATTTCATATTATATCCTTTTTCCTTTTCTTTCAATCTCTCCTGTAGATCTGTAGAAGTATATTCACACTGGCATTTATTATATATTACGCTATAACAATTGTTAGCATCTATTTACTTCAGTTTAGGATCTTGTTACTTAGCTTACTCTGTTCATATTTTAATGTACTTACTGTTTATAATTTTAATAAGATTATTCACATTGTTTATAATTTTTTGTCTAAATATTATGTGTAACTTCTGCAATTCTCTATCTTTTTTGTATCTTGTCCGTTCTAGCCCTGAAGAACACCTGCAAAGTCGGGTCGAAACGTTGGCTTTTAATAAAAATAGTTTTACCACTATTTAGCCTATTTATGACAGCCACTCCGGACCATCTCCTTCCTTTATAATGCAACGGTCAACTATTAAATATTCAAAAAATAATTAAGTATAATAAAAATAAATGAATAAACAATAGTTACACAATAAATAATTAGCCAGCGTCTGATTGAATGGTGAAGAGAAATTGGAATGAGAGGGTTTTAAACGTGGATAAGAATGGTGCATGCCGGAATCTAATTTTTAAAAATTGTGGAAAGGGCTGTTATATTATGTAATATTTGAATTTTATTTCTATCAAAATTTCTCTAATACTAGGTCCATTTCCGGTCGACAGGCTACATTTTTATTGGTTCCTGGGTACCTACACGAGTTTTATTTCGAAAAGGTTCCATCCATCTTCAAATGGTTCGAGGTTTGAAAGAAATTTTTGACTCGCATTTGGCGTATGCTCACAACCATTGCCAGCGAAACGCGGGCGGTTTTGGTTGGCAGATTTCTTTCATCTATGAAGATCCTTCTATTATTTAGAAAAGGTTTCATCCATCATCTAATTAGTAAAATTATGAATGAAATAGGTTGGTATTTGACTTACCAACTTACATACGTCTGCCGGTTAAACGCCACCACCTCCGGATGAAATTTATTTTGGAATTTCTTGGTGGAATAGTTTTATTTAGAAAAGATTTATTACATCATAAAATTAATAAAACTTTAAAACTTTGAAGGACAGAGAATAATTTTTTACTAACCTACGTCTAACGGCGGCGAAACGCTACCACTTCCAGTTGGGAAATATTTTTTATGTTCCATCGGTAAACTAGTTTTATTTAGGACAGGTTTCATCTATTTTGGAATAATTCAAATTTTAAAATAAAAATGATTTTCACTAATCTACTTCGTCTTGAATTGGGCCTGCCGACGGAACGCGTTAACTTCCGGTTGGCAGACTTCGCTCTTTTTGGTCTCAGAGTAGGCTAGTTTTATTTAGAAAAGGTTCTAACCATCTTAAAATAAGTCAAAATTTGGAGAAAAAAAGTTGGTTTTTGACGCGCGTCTGCCGAACAAATGCAACCCTTCTGGCGGGCAGACTGTTTTTTAGTCCTCCGGGTGGATTCGATTTGATTAGAAAAGGTTCCAACCACCCTCCCATATCTGTAGTCCAAAGTGTGAGTACTTTCGGAATGCACGGTCAAAAACTTTCTTCAAATCAGACCACCTTTTTGGCCTTAACTCTCGGACTATTAGCCGATTTTAAGAAAAAGTTGCTGTAACATTCCAGGCATGTATTTAACTTAAATATATTGTTTTCAGTTTCGTACGACTTTTCGTTTCTGAACTGTTCACAGACACATTGGCGATACTGGATGGAACTCTGTGAGAAAGTGGATGAGGACTCATGAGGAAGGTCTTACAAAACCGTTATGAAGAAGCTAAGGAGAAGCCTATGTGCCCTGAGGCAGTCCAAACAATAACGCCACTTGATGCGCAATAGTCACAGCTCAAGAACTCGGTAACATTCCTACCAGCCTTAAGATGGGGAAGGCACCAGGATTGTGAAGGTATACCAGGGGAAGGTATACCGATTGTGGCATTAAATGCAGCAATGGAGATTATATCGGACATATTTTTGGATCTCTTTAGCTATTGTTATATATTTTTTTCTGTGAGACTTGTAGAAGAGGAAAGAAAACTGGCGAATTACGAGCAGGGCTGTTGTAAAAAACCAATGGCTCCAGATGTAATTTTTCCGCCTCTACGTCAAATATTATATTTACCACTTAAACCAACAGAAGCGCAGGCCCGGTCTGGCTCCGTTTGGGGCCTTCGGCTAAAATCTGAAGTAGGACCTCCTTATCAGAACAATTTATATACGTATGCGATATTCGGGGACCTAAGAGGTGGCCTCAAATCATTTTACAGCCAAAGAAAATATAAATATTGGAGACTCATCGGAGGAGCTCCAAAAATTAGCAGAAAACGAATACAAAACAATTATTTTTGGGGCCAAACATGCCAGGGTATACAAACTAACGATATTCGGGGCCCTAAAATGTGCCCTGCAATCATTTTACAGTGATAACGAATTTAAACATATATGTATATAGAAGGGGATCCATCGGAGCGCTAAAAAAAATTAGCAGTAAACTAATACAAAAAAAATATTTTGGGGGCCAAACATAGCATGGTACTAGAAAAATAAAAAGTAACGACATTCGGGGTCCTCCCTAGTCATTTTACGGCGATAAAAAAGTACAAAACATTATGTTGAGGACCCATTGGAGGAGCACTAAAAATATGCCGAAATGAACTAATACACAATTATTTTTGGCACAGAACATATCACGGTACTAGAAAAATACAATATAAGAGGTTTCACAAGGGGTCTCACAAGGGGTTTCCAATCATTTTACGGCGATAAAAAATTAAACAGCATTTATATTTAAGTCCCAAATAAAAGCTGGAGTATTCCTATTCGTTGAATTCGGGATTACAGTAGTGATGACCTGATAGATTGGAGGTCCCGGACATATCATTTCAGTGATAGACTAACAGATAAGAACCATTTTAAATTCTAGATTAACTTCATCTGAAAACACGACTTCGGCCAGTCGGTTGAAAGCTGTTGCTATCTATACGAAAATTTAAATTATAGTGGCGAAATTTGACGTTTCAACTAACGGAAAACTGATCGGTTGAGTTTTGAAAACTGATGGCTTCAAAGTTATCAAATTAGTCCAGTCGAATGGTATGGTGATATGGAATGGTAGTTGGATGTGTAAAAACTCAAATAGTCAGTTTCTCTTCTTTTTTTTTTTTTTTTTTGAGGAGCTGCTAA